GCAGGACTTCCTGGAGTACAGGAAGGAGAGGGGGAAGATGCTGCTGTCCCGCAGGAACCAGCTGCTGCTGGAGTTCAGCTTCTGGAACGAGCCGGTGCCCAGAGACGGACCCAACATCTACGAGCTGCGCTCCTACCAGCTGAGAGTGAGTGTGCAGGGTCACGAGGTCACGAGGTCATGTGTTTTGATTCACTGAACTTACCAGTGCCTCTCAATAATGACACACTCTTCAGCTTAGCACTTTTCTCATGTTGCTTCTCCTTATATTACCAGCAGAATCAAACTGAATAGACCAAAAGTGTTAAATGTCACTGGTCCTACAGGCTTGCTGAAGCTTTTTGAATGAATTCAGATTTACAGCTGTTGTTTGTATCGTTTCTTGCAGCCCGGCACCATGATTGAATGGGGCAACTATTGGTAAGTGTGCAAACAATACATAACACAGCTGAATAAACTTGGACGTTTGAATGAAATGTATGTTTACAGCTCAAAGCACAGTTTAAACCATTGAAATGAAGTGTTTTACATGCATGCACTGCTGTAATGTACTGTAATGTTTTCAAGCTCATTATTGAATGCAACAAAAACGTGTTAAAATCAAAATTGATTTCAATGCAGAACACAAGTGTTGTGCCAGGGTTAATTTGCATCAGTGCACAAAGTGTTTACAAACTGAATTTCACTAATATATGGTTCTCTGATATATCACTTCACTCTTCCAGTAGCTTCAGAAAGCTTCAATGCAAGTCACTTTAGATAAAAGCCTAGTGCATAGTCTTGATCATTTGATTCCTGCTTGAAGCAGGCGTTTCCTCAGTGATGTGTCTCACTCTTTATAAAGCGCTGAGTGAAGTGTGTGATGCTGTTCCTCAGGGCGAGAGCCATCAGCTACCGACAGCACAACCGCGAGGCAGTCGGAGGCTTCTTCTCTCAGATAGGAGACCTCTACATGGTGCATCATCTCTGGGGTGAGAATGAACACATGCCACCAGAAACACTTCATCAAGTCACGGTTACAGACTGTTTCAAAGCAGCTGCGCATTAATAAACAGGAAAATAACAGAATCGATGATGCAAACGTAATCAAATACA